TTCTTATGTCCATAGACTCTCTTGGTAGGAGGTCTGGGCTTGGTGTGCCCAGTGATGGGCCTGGTTTTCCAAATAAGGTTCGCATCAAAATCCTTTTTGGTATTTCTTTCACTCTTTTAGATCCTTCAGCTTGTACTATATCCACTCCTATTTGTTGTTGCAAATTGATCTTTTATGCATATGATCAAATCATCTCAGTTGGTTTCCCATTATCTTGTCACCTAATGGGTTGACTCCTAAATTCCAAATCCAAATTAGAAATTTGTTTCTATATCTATCCTTGCACCCATCCAAGATCTTCACATAAGCGTCTCATTTTATAGAGATGTTATTTCTTCATTGGACAAACGTTATTTTGTAACAAAAATGTTGGTCTTGTAGCTGTCTTATTGGTATATCTTGTTCACACAATACTCTGGAAGCACACCTCTACATCATTACCTAACTCTGGTTTTATGGACAATGCCATCTTTTGATTTTTTTGTTGCTAAAAGACTTACAAAAAAAGACCTATTATTTAACATGCTTTAAGGGGACATTACTTATTGTAGTGGTAAAGTCTCAGGCTGGCAAGTGTGAGAATGTAGGTTTGAGTCTGAAGTGGTCACTTTGTGCCAAAATAAAAAGGTTTGGACCATATCTAGTCTATCCCTTCCAAGACCCCAGATGGCTAGAACCAACATTGGGTAATGGCATTTTTATTTAACATGCATTAATTAAGAGTAGAAAGTCAAATTAACATAAAAAGCAGATGCATCATTTTAAGACTCTAGCAGCATAGTTGTGAAGCAACTTTGAACGTGTACTTACTCAAGCCAAATATACTATTCTTGCTAATATTTCCTGTTACTCCCTTACAAGAAATTTAAATGAAATATGATTGTTCACTTAATATTTTTCAAGAAATAGGAAAAAAAAGAATGTAGACTCATGAGAATGGGGGAAGAAAGAATTCATAGGGAAATTATTAAGGTGTACTACACACAATAGCTGACACATTAGCCTCCTCCTGATTGGAGTATATATGTTATCAATGCCTATCATGACAAAAAACTGATCATGTTGATGCTTGAAAGGTGTCTTAGTAAGTGCATCTGCTAATAGATTTTGTAGTTCTGGTGTAGATATCCATGTGATTATGGTACACCGGCTTGCTAACTTGTCTTTGGTGCTAGTATCTCCTTAGGTTCTCAAATATCTCCATTTATTGAAATTTGTTGGAGCGTCACCTAGTTTAGCATTTAAAATGACAATATCTTCCAATATATCCATCACATATGATATAGAGATTGCAGGTTTTGACCTAGATATCCTTTATTCTTATAAAAGACTTGAGCTTTCACATCCTTTACCCATAGTTTTCAAGGTGCCAAGGCAAGGCTAGGCGACAGGGGGGTGCCTAGTTGCCTAGGCGCCTGCCTAGGTGATGGATTTTTTCTAAGTGAAAACATGTATCCTAGGGTAGTTCCCTGGGTCCCATAATCATATTTCCTTAATAAATATCCATAATTTTCATAAGAAAAGTATAAACTTCATGTTAAAGTATAGAAAATCAACATATTCCAACATATTCATGAGAAGAAAAAGAAAGAA